AGATGTTGTTATGAAGAATGGAGTTGATATTCTGTAGCCATATTTGCTATTAACCTGTGGTTTATTCGGAAATCCTGCCGGCTCTTTCAACCTTCGTTTTCTCATCCCCTCCGGAATCCTCGCGGGGCTCTTTCCACCCTCTCTTCTCGGGCTTCTAACCACTTTTCGTCTCTCGGAAGGTGCACTCTCTGTATCCTTCTTCTCAAAGTAAGCAACTTTAGGGTGTCGTATCAGATGTTGATTTGAAGCATTATTGAGAAATTGGCGCCAATCTTGCAGTGGTGGATATATATATATATATATATATATATAGTTTATCCATACTTTATCTATGCTTTTCATTTTCACTTTCCAATTTCTTTCCATTTTTTTTACTTTCTTATTATTAAAGCTTCAATCATTTTCAATCAACGCATTTAAAATTCTCCAAAGAAATTAAATAATTATATGGACTATTATTTCCAGATTTGCAATGAAAATAAAATAATGAAAATTTACACATATAATTACCCACTTTAATCCTTCCAAATCCTCGATCCTTGGAGCAACCTCAACTTCGAGTTCCTACAACTTTCACAAAAATATAACTTCTATAAAAACGTGCTTTTATAACAAAATTGAATTAAATTTGTATAATAGGAGAGTCACTTATAAAGGAAAATGGGGATTTTCTCAAAATCCTTAAATCCTTCTCTCCCAAAATTCCTTCCCCTTGTCTTTGATTCCTTCTTTTATCTTCAATTTAATGTTTCTGATGATTAGAGAAATAATTAGGAAATAATTTATAAAAAAAAAAATGCAAAACAAACCTTTTCCCTCTTTTCCTCATCATTCCTCTCGCTCGTTGAAACTTCTCCCAAATTAGTACTCCTTTAATGGTAGAAATGAAAAGGAATGATCAATTCTTTTTATCCTCCAACGCGATCGACTGGTAAAAATGACGAAAGAAAACTCAGAATCCTTCCGCATGTTCGGTTGTCCGCCCGCTCCGTTCCGTTGTTCGTTCGCGAATCGCGACCCCTTCCTTCGTCGCGACTCTAATAAAAGGCGGGTGATGTAGGCAAGGGGGGGGGGGTCAAAACAAATCCTAAATTTTGACCTTGGTTGCTCTTGGTTTGGCCTTTGCTGCTGTTGGTTTGGGGCCTTTTGCTGCTCTCGGGTAGGCTTTGGCTGCTTGGTTTTGAGCTCAAAATTTGAATTCTACTTGGTGTTAGCTCATTAATGTTTGAGCTGAAGTTTAGCTCAATAAATGGTGGAATAAATTCTCTTAAAGCTCATTAAATCAAAAAGGTATATTTCTTTTTAGCTCATTATTATGGAATGGACTTTTGGCCTTCTTCTTCCCCTTTTGCTTTTTTCGGTTTCTGCTGGCTGTTGCTGTTTTCGTGGTCTCTCCCTCTCGGTATTTCCCCTGGCTGTTTTCCCGTGAAGCTCTGCCCCGTTTCCTGTGCTGGCTCCTCGGGTCCCTTGCTGGTTGGACTTCCCGTGGCTTCTGGCTGGGTTTCCCGTAGCTATTTCTCCCTGTTTTTCTGTGCAGTTTTGTGGGATGTTGTATTGTCTTTTGGCCTTTCATTTCCCCAAATCTGATTGGATTTGGTTGGAGGTGTTGTGGCTGTTTAGCTTCTTCCTTTTGCCTATAAATTAGAGATGTTTTGAGGCTTGTAAGGGTTGGAAAAAATGCAATTTTTGGACATGAAATCCTGAGGGTTTTTGGAAAAGCTTGAGAGCTTGTTCCACTTCTTCTTCTTCTACTTTTTGGGAAGGCTTTTGAGCTTCTCCGCTCTTCGTCTCAGCTTCTAACCTCGTTCTTCTCTCCGCAAGTTTCGACGCCACTTGTATCCTTCTTCTCGACGAATGAAAGCAAGTTTATGTTAATGTTTGTGTCGTTTGTAAGCGTTCAAGTTTGTAAATCTTTTATATTATAAAAGTAAAGTTGTTTTTGGTTTGTCTTGTCGTATTTTGACTAGTTTTGAGAATTTGGAGTATCTTCTTTTATCTAGGAAGGTTGTCTTTTGCTTGCAAAAATTTGGGGGCTCTTCCCAAATTTTTTGCTTGCATCAGCGGGTGGTCGGTTGGGTTGAACTGGCCCCCAACCGGTTCATTACACTGGCGCTATATTTTCTTTTCTGAAGTTGACATCTTCTTAAGATTTTTCCTTATTTATGTGTTTTATTATGCTCTTTTATACATACATAATTTCTTTCAGAAGGAGGTTTTCGAATTAAATTTAAATAATTGACTGATATTATTTTTTCTTGTGGAAGGTTAAAGCATGGTTAAATGAGGGGAAAGATGTGCGTCTGGGAGACTGGAAAGCTGCTGATATAGAGATTTTGAACACTTTCCAGTTGCTTACAGCAAAACCTATTGTCTATCTGGTATACAATTTTTCATAGATGTGACAACTTCCAAGGCAGTTTATAGATGCAAAATTTTCTATAATTCCTTTCACAATGTACTGAATTTTGCATTTTCATTAAAAATTTGGCCATATGGTGATCAAATTGGCCGAGTGACTTGTACTGCAAGTTATGATCCACCTAGTGTCCTGATTAGAATGTTTTGAAAAGATTTCTTTTTGCAGCTAAGCTGGGAGAAGTTATTTGTTCTTCAAGTAACTCTACTCGCTTCTCTTTGTAATCTCACACAAAGCATTATTATGTTCTTTCTCTTAGGGGCTGTTTGGTTAGAATACAAAATGGTGTAAAGTATTTCAAATACGGGGTTTTGAAAATCTAGGTATTTGGTTGGATGAAAAAGAAATGCTAAGTAAAGAAATGTAATGGAAACTATTTTAGTTTTTTTTTTGAAGTAAATTAAATTCGTCCAGTTTTAAACGAGAACCATTTACACACCTCTAAGGTTGTGAGACTTACCTTTGGGCCATCCTCTGTGTTAAGCCCCAACCCAGCCAATTTAGGATCAATAGGCTACCAACAAACCAATGAAATCAATCTTGATTCATGGGCCTTCCCAAGGGTGGACCTAACCTTGGGCCAATTTTCTAACAACAATTCAAGGCCACCAAAAACAACTTGGGCAATCTATCATGTTAACAAACCTATTAACTAAACGTTGGCCAACTACCATGCTAATAAGATCATCAACAAAATACCAATTCTAGGCCAATTATCATATTAGCAAGCTCGCCAACTCAAATCACCATATGGCTTAAACCTACTTTGTCGAGTGAAACTAAAACTCAAGAATAATTGATGATCATGCCTTTGAGTTTTAATTGGTCATGCCTATAATTTCTGAATTGCAAGCAACAATATTGTGTCTCTTTGAGATCCATTTAGTCAAACTGATATGGCAAACTCTTTGATAATGATCAAGTTTATGCCAATCTCAATGGCATATCGTTGACACACTTTCAACTTAATTTTTGCTCAGGATAACTGAGAGGGAATAACTCATGGTTGGTAATCAGGCTTACTGGACTTTAGGAGTCAAATCCATTTGACACTAGCTAATGGGATCCCTTTGTAGAGCTGAAATGACAGATCTATGAGATCTTGATTGGATTTGCCTCCATATGTATTTAATGAATTTCATAGTCGGATCCAGGTATTTGCGAAGGCATGTTAACTTGGGTGTTAAAAAAAAAAGTCTTTCGAGTACCTGTTGAAATAAGCATGATTGAATTTGTGGTCACATTGTAATTTTTGCTTATTGTTCAGACAGTTGACGGTAACAATGCCCGCTGCTATCTGGAGGAAGTGTCAGAGTAAATATTCATTAATTGGTGATAGGAGATTGAGCATGCAAAATCTTCTCTCGTTCTGATAATAGGAGAGTTGCATGGTACTTGCCTGGTAGTTAGTAGTCTTAATCTTTGCTACTCTTGGAAGCACCAAAATTTTTTTTTCTTGGGTTATTGGCTTAAGCAATCTTTGTTTATGACTTTTTGCACAACTTACATGTTTTATCTTATGAGAACACAACCCTATCTTGTAAAAGCTCTTACCAACTAAAAGCAAGGAATGTTGGAACCTTCTTCTTAAATATTCCCAATTTTTTTTTTTTACAGGTGAACATGAATGAAAAAGATTATCAGCGAAAGAAGAATAAGTTTTTGCCCAAGATACATGCTTGGTATGTTTTGATTTTAGGCTGGCTTGTTCTAAATTGTTATTTTTTCCCTCCTCCGTTGTTGGCAGTGGTGTTTGTAATATATTAGAACAGTGCGATGCCTTGATTTTTGGTAACTGATTCTGACCTTTTATCTAAGCAGATTTATAATGCTATCTTACATATGCTTCATTTCACAGAACAATTAGTGCTGATATGCTAAATAGATTGCTTTGGAAAAGTTGGAGCAAAGTTAATTAATCTAAATTATGTTCATGGTATGAGCAAAATATGGTACTAAAATATTGGGCATATTCATGTGAAGAAGTTAGAGAAAGATTCCATACGCTTGGTTTTAAATGAATCCTTTATTAAGATGCACGCCTGTTATCATCTATAAGTTTGGTTTGGTTTGGGAGAACTACAAAGCAAGCAGAGGGACAGAAGACAATGAGGGGGAAGAATACATGAGAAGGGCTATCACGGTTATAGCAAAGGAGAGGGAATGAGAGAAGGAAGTGGAAGCCCAACCTTGAGGCTTTGAAATGGAATTTTTCCTATGAGTTTCTGTGGGGATTTGTGTTGGTATTGTGGGGAAGGCATTGTTATTCATTACTTGCCACCCGAACATGGCACTGATTTTCTAGAAAGAATTGGTGTTGGAGATTCCCTTGCTTCAGAAGTCTCTGCATACAGCTTGGTGCTCTGGTACCTGACTAGCAGTGTGGTAAGCTAATCCTTGTTTTGAGGAACAAGAATTTGGGGAATTGAAATCAACCTATTATCCATCCGATTTGACACAAACATAAAAATCTGGGTAGATTTTTTGTTCACCCAACTCATTCTCTGCGAAATAACTATAGGTATAATAGGTTGTCTTTAGGGTATTTGTATGTTCTATTTGATGGAACATAGCAATCAGTCTTCTCTTTGAGGCTTCATGAAATTTAAACCCGTTTAATTGATAAAACTGGATAATTTAGTGGCTTTTCTGACACAATAAGTACCATTTATTTCAAACCTAATTCATCCATCAATCACCTTCAGATCTACTCCATACATCACTAAAAGAAGTCTTATTTTCTTCTCCTGGCATGGTATGCAGAAGAATCTTCCTGGAGACATTGTTTCTGAGTTGATTATCTTAGCTATAGGCAATCTGGTGCAATGGATGAGCAAGAAACTTGTTCTTTTTTTTTGAAAATTATTTTTGTATCAAAAGTTACTCTTACTAATTGCATCTTTATCACAATTGACAATCTTTTCAGGGTGCAGGAGCATGGTGGTGAACCTATCATTCCATTCAGTTGCATTCTTGAAAAAAATCTTGCAGATATGCCACCAGATGAAGCTGCCAAATATTGCGAGGAAAACAAATTGCAGAGGTGAGCTAAATCCGGATATGTTGATTTGATATCTATTAACCACTTTTTGAAGATTATTTCGGACATAAAAGAATTCTTCATAACGTGCACAATAGCAAGAATAACAAACACTAATAAATTCTGTCTTCTCGCAGTGCCATTACAAAAATCATAAAGACTGGTTTTTCTGCCATCAATCTTATTTACTTTTTTACTGCTGGCTCGGATGAGGTATTTTCCATTCGTAGGCCAAGCTAAATTAGTTGATTTTGTTATTTCTCACTATATTTCATACAAAATGAATTTATTTTTCAGTCATCCATCAACAATAGATTAAAACAGTGTGCTTCTTCATATTTCCTAATTCGTATGCATTCTTTATGAATTGTACTATTATTTGGACTCCTCATATCATCATCCGAATGAATGATTCTATAAAGAATTATTGCTTAACAGGTTAAATGCTGGCAAATCAGACGCCAAACAAAGGCTCCTCAAGCTGCAGGTGTCATACATACTGATTTTGAACGTGGTTTCATATGTGCTGAGGTATGTACTACTGTTTCGAATCATAAAATAAACTATGTTGTTTCATTTTGTGTCAATTAGCTTTGTTGTCCAGCTTTCAGTTTGTTAGTTGTGGTTTAGTTGTAATGGGTATGTTCTCCCTAAGTTCAGGATATGTAGTGCTATACTGAACCACGTTAAAGTGATTGATTATGAGTTGAACTTTAACAAATAAACATGGTTAATAAATACTTAATATTAATATATCCAACACATACTTGATGCTAAGAAATATCTCCTACTTTTTTACTTTTGTTTTGTTTGTAGTATTTCTCTTATTATCAACATCAGCAATATGGGGCCGACTCTATCTTTTCAGCCATTGCTGCGGTTCATCCATTGTTTCAGTTAAAAGCTTTTTGTTTATTCAATATATCCATGCAAGAAACGATTGGTAGATTTAGTAATTTAATACTTTGAAGATGCTCATATGACACAGGTTTACATTAAGCTAAGTTTATTTTCAGTGCACAGTTTATAAAGTCAAACTTAGCATGGCAATAAAAAATCTTTATATGCAAGCCACACTGTTATACGAACAATTTGTGATTTGATTCTTGGGATTAAGATTTCTATGTTTCTAAATATAGAAAGGAATATCATATGATTACCTCACCACTCCTCAAAATTCTATTTGTAGATTATATCATTATCTTGGATTCCAAGAACTAGCCATTTGCCTGATATGTTTTTTTTTCCTAGAATTAGTTGTGAGTTTACTCCGGTGTAGCTTTGGCTTGATAAATGTATCGTGAATAGAGATTGAGCCAATGATGACTCAGCTCTTTAACTTATAAATTTCTCATTCTTTCCATTATTTTAAACACCTTGGATTCAGATTCATCTGCTCTTGTTCATAAAGGAGATGTGCTTGTGAGTCAACTCAAACTCTTTAAATTGAGTTGAGCTTGAGCTCAAACTCAATTAATTAGTCATGCTCATGCTCAAGTGGGGCAACTTGTGCTCTTCCCAGCTGATTTACCCTCTAATATACACATTGTTTTGTTGGGCTGATGGACTTGTTCTTTGGCTGCTTTGCACATACTTAATTTTCGCTATGTGCTAGTTGTTCCTTCAACTTGTCATATTGAAATTATGAGCTGTATTTATTTTTCTAGACTCATATGCCTGCCTTTGTTGCTTTTCAATAACAACATTAATACACTTCGGATGTCATTCTTTCCTAGTTAGTTAGCTTTGCATAGGTAACTTTTCTTTTGATATTACAAAACATGGCGTTGCATCATTCTGCAAAATTTACATCAAGTTTTCTAGAGATAGTTGTGAGTTTACTCTGGTGCAGCTTTGGCTCGATGAATGAATCATGAATAGAGCTTGAGCCAATGATGACTCAGCTCTTTAACTTATAAATTTCTCATTATTTCCATGATTTTATTACTAAAACACCTAGGATTCCGATTCATCTGCTCTTTTTCATAAAAGAGATGTGCTTGTGAGTCAACTCAAACTCTTTAAATTGGGTTGAGCTTGAGCTCAAACTCAATTAATTAATCATACTAATGCTCAGGTGGGGAAACTTGTGCTCTGCCCATTTTATTTACCCTCTAATATACACATTGTTTTGTTGGGCAGATGGACTTGTTGTTTGGCTGCTTTGCATATTTTTAATTTTCGCTATGTGCTAGATTGTTCCTTCAACTTGCCATATTGAAATTATGAGCTGTATTTCTTTTTCTATACCTGTATGTTTGCCTTTGTTGCTTTTCGATAACAACATTAATGCACTTTGGATGTCATTCTATCGTAGTTATTTAGCTTTGCATAGGTAACTTTTCTTTTGATATTACAAAACATAGTGCTGCATCATTCTGCAAAATTTACATAAAGTTTTTTACAAAATCATAGATTGGCCTTTTTTGTCTTCTCTTCCACAAGCCCAAGTAAAGACATGGCAAACTCTTGGTTTGCATGTATAATTATGACAAAGAAGTCGAGTCGTACTAAATGTCTTGAATTTGTACTTTTAGTTTAAATAATTTGGCCTCTTTCAGGTCATGAAGTTCGAAGATTTGAAAGAAATAGGCAGTGAAACCGGAGTTAAGGTATGATGCTTCCAGTGCTGACTTTTGCTGTATTTTTTTTTTTTTTTTTTTTTTTTTTTTTTTTTTTTTTTTTTTGTGAAATACATAATTGCATAATCATTTCCTAATGTAACCTGAAGTCAATTTTTTTGTTTGGCTTGCAGGCCGCAGGGAAATATAGACAGGAAGGGAAGACCTATGTTGTTCAGGATGGTGACATCATCTTTTTCAAGTTTAATCCTTCCGGAGGCGGGAAGAAATGATTCTATAAATCTTAGGTGCACCACCTTACTAGAGATATTTTTGCTTGACTTTTGAAATGCTTCTGCTATGTTCCATAGATGCTTCCTTGATTGAAAGCTATTTTTGTACTCTGATAATTAAATTGAATGTGTATTATGAGATAATTTCTTAAAATGATTTTGAAAAACTTCATACAGGCTGTATGGTTTTCTTTGTTTCCTCCTTGCAATAAAAAATAGCTGCAGAAATTCAGGTTGTCAGCATGACTTTTTTGTTTTTTTCTATTGATTTTTTTTTGTTAGCTTATTGTATTAACTCTCACGTCACTTCTATTTTTGAAGGAATAAATAATTTCCTGTTAATTCCTGTTCCTCGTGATTTTTATTTATGGGACCCCTTTTTTTGTTTGTTGGGGGGGGGGGGGGGGGGGGGGGTGGGGTTGGGTAATGGTGAGAGCCTGAGTAATATTTTAAATGAAGAATAAATGTATGGACAAGAAACGTACCAAAATAGGTGCTACCACAGAATAACAATTAAAATACATGAAGCACCCAAGCAAAAAGTATCCAAAAATCAGAGTGATTAAACAGGGAAATAAATCAAAGACGAAGCATAGAATTGTGATCACGAGAGATTAGAGGATGGGGGGCTCGGTAAGAGACCCAGTAGGATTTGTTATTCTGGATTTAAAAAGGCTCTGTCCATTACTCAACTATAAGTTCCAGCTGACTAATTAGATTGAATGAGCCATCCAGAAAAGGAAAAGAAAGAACTGGATAGAGCTTATCATCTCGTCCTTCCACCCAAAAGAATCCAAAATTGCATCAAGAATTTGGAATAGTAGCCATACAAGAGCAAGAACAACTCTTCCAATTATATTGTGAAAACTAACTGAAGATTAGCACTACAGGATGCCTCATACAACATCACAACCGGATTACAAATAGCAGAGAATGAGATGAGAAACCCAAACAAGCTGGATGAAAAGCACATCAAAATCACATAAAAATCAGAATACATGAAAACCAACGATAAAATTTAAGAGAGGGAAATAGGTGGCGGCTAAAAAATCTTTAAAATATGTGACTTCCATATGCCTAGGCATATTTTCATTGAGTTTCCAACTTTTGATCCTTTGCAGGATATGAAACTTAATCCTACGGAAGAGGTCAACCAAACTTTAGGTTCAAATGAGTGTATCCTAAAATTGCTTTCTCACCAACTATGTAAAAAAAAAAAAAGAATGGCAGCAGTGACTAAAAAAAATTCTCCTGGCATTAAGTTATCATTGTAAGATGTGCAATGCTCAAGGTTTTGCATCAATGAAGCATCAAAGAGAAAGAGTGTTACTTACCAACCACATGGACTGAGGGAAACTAAAGAATAAGTCTGAATGACTTTCTATGTTCAAATGGCATAAAAAGGGCCATATTAAAAATATTTCTGAGTTAATGTTTTTAAGTCATTTAAGCAAGCCATCAATGTACAAGTAGAATACTTTGACATATACCAAACATGTTCTCTCCAGTGAAAATCAGTGGCAGAGAAAAAAAAATCCTTCTTAGTTTTGAAAGAAGAAAAACCTTCCTCCCCTTTTCAAACGATTTATCACCATTAGAATGGAAATTAGCAGACTTAATAGAGTATGATGTTTCAATTGAAGAGAATGGGAAAGGAAGTAACCAAGCCCCATTAGCAATAATATCATAGATTTTAGTATCTAGGACCCGAAAAATGTCCTTTGAAAGAACTATTAGGCCATAGGTCTTTAAATAAGGAAAAAGTTTGGCCATTCCCAATGGAAAATGTGAGCCATCTATGAGAGGAAAGGGTTGGATATTTCTCCAAAAGAGACCTTACTCAAGCAATGACTCCATAGAGAACATAAAGCCCCATTAGCAATAATATCATAGATTTTAGTATCTAGGACCCGAAAATCTCCTTTGAAAGAACTATTAGGCCGTAGGTCTTTAAATAAGGAAAAGTTTGGCCATTCCCAATGGAAAATGTGAGCCATCTATGAGAGGAAAGGGGTTGGAGATTTCTCCAAAAGTGAGACCTTGCTCAAGCAATGACTCCATAGAGAACATAAATAACATTCTGCTATATAATAAGAGGATTAGACTGGGAAGTCATCTTCCAAATGACTTTCATTTAGCATACATTGGGACTTCCTAAACTTTTATATATTTACTTCAAAACCACCTGTTTTCTTCACGAGTTCTCTGACATTGGATCAGTCTTCTCTCCTTCAAACTTTTCGCTTAAAGATGTAAGCCGTATTTCCTCGCGAAAATAATATAAGTTCTAGGTCTGACCAAGGCTGCATTAGAACATTGATTACAGTACCATCACCTCATCCATTGTTAATTTATTTGTTTTGTCTTGAAGAAAAAATCTTATCATTGTTACAGCTATTAACCCGTAGTGATGAAAATAGAAGATAAATGCATGACTTTCTGTCATTTACATGAGTTGGTTTGTCCTAAATTTAATTTCCTTCTGTAGCTGCTGGGTGTTTAATTGTTATTTTTGCAATGTTCTTGCTAAGTCTGGCACACGAAGAAGCACAAATACCAACTCTTTATTATAAAAAAAATACAAAATGCCCAAACTAATCCCTGACTATTTATGTTGTATTTATTTTTTGTCTTTTTCTTTCTCTAATTTGATAAGTCTTTACAATATGACTATTTAGATCCTTCCGTTAGGCCAATGATAAAAATCAACAGAGAAGGCTAAGTATCAGCAAGGATAGGAACCAAATTGCAGAAAATGAAAGTATGGTGTCATAGCATCAACATAAATACACCCTAACTAGCCGAGGATCATTTTGTTCTTTTTTTTTTAATTAAAGAAGTGTTACCAACATTCAAGTATTTATCACAGCAATACTATGTTCTTGAATTTGGTCATGATTGATTAGCTATCTTTCGATGAAATTCCAATGAATTCTCAGGATGATCTATTAGACTAAAATTATTATAATAATTGAGGCATCGATTAATAAGCTATAGCATTCAACCCTGTCCCAAAAAGAGCAATATCACATAAAAGATTACAGATTGCAGCGAAAATACTAGTTTTCAATATAAGTTCTGAGAAAACTTATAATACAAGGCTTGTTATTAACATCCTACTGAGCCAGAGCACTGGTATTGTAAACTAAAAGAGCTCCCCCACCTAGCAGTCCAAGTAGTGTCACAGCCCATATTAGGAGGCCAGTTTTCCCTGCGTTTATCACCAGAAAAAACAGCTGAGGTGAGCATATTAAAAACGAACACATGAATTTGCACTAGTGATTTTCTCTAATTATTGATTTAGATTCACTATTGTAGTTTTTCACTAAGAGCTATTTGTGTAAATCTCTAAATAGTTTGGTGTTATGGTGAAAAAGGTTAATAGCTCTAAATTTTTTAAATAATGCCCCTATTTTTTATATAACCAGATTCATATCTTGTATTCATTTTAGTATTTCTTGAAACCATATCTTGCCAATCGCCTGTGGTTGTTGAAAATTTAATATTATTATTAAGTGTTTGTTATATTATTATTAGAGTAGTATTGCAGCTATATTTTAGAGAAACTATGCATGCCAGGAATTTCATTTATTGTCTTCCTTTGGTTTTTTCTCACGAAAAAAAAATAAAAAACAAGCAACGGGAAAATTTATTGTTAGACTTACCTCCAACATAGACGTCACCACCAGGAGACCATTCTTCTGGAGAGTAGATTGGACTGCAAATTTGAACAAACTTATATTAGTGCATGAGAAATATAGATATTTTTGCCATTGAAACAATTTTCAGAGCAGAAAAAAGTTTCCAAGTTTTAAGTATTGTGTTATTAAGTATACAATGCGTGCATATTGGTTTTCGTTATTACCTGTAGCCATCAACATTAGCTCCATATTTGTCGACAAATTGATAAACACCCTTTCCCTGCATTAATTTGGGAAGGAAAATAAAGCATCTTATAAATAACCTTTTTAAATAGCAAGAGAATAATTTGTTAGGAGAAATTTCAACCTTAGGCTTCCTTCCAGATGCATCAAGACCATTGGCCAGGCTCATCCCACCTCCAGGTCCTACAGAACACTCCTTTTCAATCCCCATTTATGCATATGAAACTCATCTATTATACATATGAACATTTTTACTGTCTTGCAACTTCCTAATTTCATGTTAGAATGTGTTATCAGTTATTGTTTGGTTTGCCTCATTTGCATGAATATAGAAAGCAGTATGTGCTATAGATTATGGCTTTGTTTGGGATGACTTTCTTCCGACTTCTTAAAGCGGCTTTCTAGTACGAACGAAGAACAAAGTCACTTTAAGAAGCAGGAAGAAAGCCGTCCCAAACGAAACCTATTTGATCAAACTATGCTTATGTATGTAAACTATATGTTATATGATTCGGGCTTCATTTGGAACAATTTTCTTACTGCTTTCTACAACAGTTTCTAGAATAAAAATTTATTTAAAAAAATAATGATCTAATAACAACCAAGTGAGTTCTAAGAAGCTGGATGGAAGGGAGTATTTGTTAGGAGGGGATACTAACCGTACGGAGTGTCTGTCTTGATCTTCCTGGCTTTGCTGGCCATAACTTTGAGGTTCGAAGAAGAAGGTCTGGCGAGGGAAGGCAGGCCTTTGGCTTGTGGCCTGCACGCTCCTGTGAGGGATGGCTTCAACACCAGCGAGGAAGAAACCAAGCTGCTCGCCATCTCTCTCTCTCTCTCTCTCTCTCTCTCTCTCGCTGTGCGCCAGGCTTTGAAGAGTTGGAGATATTGATATTGAGCTGGTAAGTTATCTACTTTCTGACACGTGGCGTCTTCTCTATGGCTGGATCTTGATAACGAATGTATGGTGGTCGCGTCAGTTTTATCCACTCCTTAATGGGAGAGATTTTTATGCGCCGAGTGTGGATGAAGCTTTTTCATCCGGACTTCAATTATACGAAGGCATCTGATTTTATTTTATTTTTTTTTCTGGTATATATCTGGTGTATAAGAGAAAAAAATTCATTTGTTTTTTATGTAATTAAAAAACATCTGAATTTTTTTTCATATACACTGTACAAGAGAAAAAAATTCAGACGTCTTCATGTGATTGTAGTTCAGATGCCGTGGCATTTGGACTCGGCACGTAATAATTTTTCCCTTGAGAGGAAGGGAGGAAGTTAGGGTTTCAATTTTTTAAAATTAGATTAAATTTTAGAATGGTTTCATAACTAGTAGTATTTGATTATTTTAGTCTAAGATTATTACGATGTTTCAATTTAATATCTTGATTATATAAAATAAAAATGGTTCCTTTGCGATTAAATTGGGATCTTTTTTGTAAAGTTGAGGGATCAAATTATGATCAAATTTATAGTCTAGATTAAATTTGAGAATGTGATATTTTGAGATTAAATTGATCGTACATGAATAATGTGATGATTATTTTGAATTTTTTTCTTCTTTAAAAATAATTCTATAAAGATAATTTTCAATATAACAAAGTAAATAAAGGATATAAAATAACTTCCATAGCTTAATGCGTCTATCAACGCATGAACATTCCTACGCTAACTAAAATAAGAAGAATAAGTTTTTATGAGATTATTTTTAATTTGAATCATTATTTGTAATTGATAATTGGATGTCTGATGTCCTAAACCCTAAATGAGAGAGAGAGAGAGAGGGAGAAATAGAAGAAAGAACACAATAGAAACATCCACCCAATATACCTATATAATAAATTGATTCTTCTCTTACAACATTATCTCATACATTTGATCACAGCAGTATGAAACAAAAATATACACATCTGAAAATGCAAAGTGGTGAAGCACCAAAGTGCAAGTTTCACGAATAGCTTTGGAAAGGAGTCATATTGATCTATTCTATGTTGAGGGAAATTAAGGGTTTAAGCTAAACTTTGCGAGGGGTTTAGGGGTGGGTTGCAGCAAACATGACCTTCCTGCCTGTCTTAGGCAAATGATGATCTCAATTGGAGAAATTATTAGGTTCGGACGCGGATAGAGAGAATCATCTGAATTTCTCTCTGTCTACAGTAAAAGCATAGTTACTACAGCAGCTGCGTTTTGACTGCGCTTTTATTGTAGACAGAGAGAAATTCGGATGATTCTTACTGTCCGTTGTCCGCACCTAATAATTTGCCTCTCAATTGAGACAGCCAGGCCCAGAACTGACTTGCTATGCTATGAAGCATTCCTATTTGAGCTTTCTTGCTGCTGAGTATCTTCAACTTGTTCGGCTTCCACACTATGTTCATTTGCTTGCTGCTGTGAACTATTATTTCGCATCTCTCTCCATTTCAAAAACTCAATAAACAAAATATTTGCACCGGCTGCTACCCCAAACCCAGCAAACGATGAAAGAAGGATGGAGAACAAAGAAACGATTTTAAGCTGTGTAAATTTACAACAAACATAAGCACTGATTGGTGGCCAAATTTTGGAAGGGAATTTCTTCTAAAGCAAAAGATTTTCTCACTTACCACAGTGTAGAAAATGTGAGCAAACAAGACGACAATGGCAAATTGGAACGAAGCAAAAGTCCAAACAAACGCCCTGCTAACTGCAGACATAAAAATATAAATCAGAGCAAATGAGAATGATTGCAGGTAGGAATTTCTTGTTTCATAACTTAAATTCTTTAGCAGGAGAAGAAGAAAATAGTAGGCATGTCATAGCTATTACTGATATTCATAAGGGACAATAGGAAGAAGAATAATAAGGACTAAACTTGCAAATTTAACCATTACTGATCAGAATATCCTAAGTTTAAGTATAAATTACCAGAAAAGATATTGCAGTCGCATATGCTTCTGTTGTAATCAAACAATATCTTTACTGATGATTTCCTGTTTATGTTGTTTGCATCTTGATTTTAATTTTCACTAATAATAGAACTAAAATGCTGGTTCCGAATGGGCTTTGGGACAAATATGTTGGAAAATTCTCTGTTTTTGGGTTTCATGGATAATTTCCACGAGAAATTATTAGCTGTGGATGAGGAATGTTAATCCAGCCAATTAAGAGCCAACATATGCCATCTATACAGTTGTATAAAGTTATGTAGGAGCTCCTGATCTGTAAATATTTTATATAAGTAAATTCCCAGTAACTATTAAAAACCTAGTTGTTGAGTTCAGATTGCATTTTTGTTATTAATAGTAGTTTATTTTTGAAAATATGATAAAATTTGGGACAGTTTTCTCATTGCTTTCTGTTAAATCTCAGCCTCTCGTTTCAAAAGACGATCCCACGGCTATGAACAGTAATCCGTGGAATGACCCCTTGGATCACATTAATTCCTTCCATAGTTAGGCTGCCGAATTAGGAAGGATTGTATTACTCATTATTCTCCAATTATTTAGAGTTATTTGTTTCTTTTTTGGGACATTTAGGTCATTTAAGGCAAACTCACACACACAACACATACACAAAGACTCGAACACAAGACCTTTTAGTTGGAAGCCTAAACTCTCAACCAACAAGTCAAGAAGAGCTGTGTGTTATTTGTTTCTTTAATAATGCACCTTGTATAGATCAATAAATAGGAGTAGATTGCTGAATAAAATCTCAAGCTCTTATTTTCAAATCTCTTATTTTAGTAATTTTATGTCTAATAAGGTCAGATAAGAAGAAAGCACTAGTTACCCATTGTGCATGCTATGCAGGATGAGAGAAGCCCCAACAGGCCAGAAAAAGGCAGAGATAGAGCAAGAGCTCGCGGACCCAACGCTTTAATCTGTTCATTAAAATAATTGTTGATTTGAGATCCAACAAGCTAACTTGCACATAGAGAAAATATCATTCTAGTTGTGAAATGCAGAGAGAATTTACCAAAAGTTGCTCTAGGAAACAGAAATAGGCAAGTATGCTGACCATGACAAGTACTGGTACATCCTGCCATATCCTGTAAGAAAGTAAAGCGTCCGACATATGTTAATCCAATGAGACAGTGAGAATTTAAAAAATCTATATATATCATTTTAAGCAACATGTCTAGATCATCTACGAAAAAGAAGCCGAAAAGAGTGGAGCTGGGTCGAGTTTCCATAAAGATATATCGTTGCTTGGTATTGAATACTTGCAAAGATAGTTATAACTTTCAACAAAGACATGAGTGCATGTAAATGTTTATCCAATTTACATTTAGCGACTGATATTATCATTTTTATCATTTATTAAATAAGTGCGGGTAGCATTTCAACAGCCTCCCAATGTCCCCTCCTCGTAAAGGGAGGTTGGGAGGACACTTGCCCTTTCAAATCCGTCCGATCGGACAGATATTCGACAATCGAAGGCTTCGGAGGAAAAATCAACTCCGGTATTCGTCTTCTAGTCTTCCATTGCTTCTCATACCTGTTAATTATTATGATTTAATTAACATTAATTTCCCTTTTTAATTTTCTTGAAAATCCGACAGCCTTGCGACGTTCCCTCCCCTAGCTGGATTTTATGCTAGTGTGCAGACGGTTCTCCCCGTCTGCACTCCGCACCTAATAATCTCTCCTCCCCGCAAGGGGAGATTAGGAGGGCAATAACACTGATATTGATCTTCGAGTTCCCCCATATCCTGCAGTACCTATATCCTATGATTTAAATTAAAAAACAAAACTCATTTTTATTCCCTTGAAAATCCGGCAGCCCGGGAGAAGAGGTTGGCAGGGCACTTGACCTTTAAAACACGCTCGCCTGATTAAAACGTCAACGGTCGTAGGGCTTCGAGGATAATCAACCCTAAAATCCGTCTCTTCGGTTGGCTAGGTTCGACGCGTAACAGAAAGGGTCGGGTGCAGCTTGGGTCTGAGATCGTGTATGGGAGCAGAATCGAAGGCGGGAGCAGACGGGGTGGTTTTATGCAGCTGAAATCGGCGAGTACAGGAGAGTGAAACGTCATCGTGCGGAGGGGCGGAACCAGCTTCAATTTTGAGGGGGGGCAAATACAACACAAAAATAATTAAATATTAAAAAAATATTATTATATATCTATATATTACGACAAGTTTTTTTTAAAAAAATTTAAGCAAGAAAAATAAAGAAAAAAAATATAATTAAACAGTCATGAAAAGCATGAAAGAGAATATTAGAACTAAATGTGAAGAAATATATAGATATTTTAGGGCAAGATAGGATAAAAGAGTTTTTTAGGGGGGGCAAAAAAAAATTTAGGAGGGGCAAAAAAAATTTTTTACTCTCCTATAATTTTTTTTTTTTACTCTTATAAAAAAAAAATTTTTTTTTTAGGGGGGGGCAATTGCCCCCCCTAAGCTTGTAGTGGTTCCGCCCATGCGTGCGGCAGCAGGGAGGCGGATCGGTCAAGCTGTGTACGGCTTCGACTGGGATGCGCGATCGAAAGAGAGGAGACGGAAGAGGGATTTGCTGGGGCTTTGTGTTCCTTGCGTGCGTTTGAGATCAGGAGAGAGAACCAGCTTTGATTCATATGTCTGAGAGTTCAACCGAGTCACAGAGAGGAGAAATTACTAGGTGCAGAGTCTGGACGAAGAGATATGTGCTGACTCCAATAAAATGTTGACACGTAGAGTTGACACGTGGATATTCAATTAGATTTATTTTTTACTTCATAAATTTAATGTGTCCACCAAACTTTAAGCCATGCACACCAAAAGCGCAGTTAAAGCGTAGGTAAAACGCAATCAAAGCGTAGTAAAAAAACACAACAAAAGATCTGCCAAAGCGCAATTAAAGTGCAGGTAAAGCGCAAGTAAATCGCACAAAAAAAGTGCAACCAAAACGCATTCCATATTACGAAACAGTTTCTCATGATTTAACATTTAGCATACCAAATAATTTTCAGGCTTAACACATTTCGAATTTACTAAATCCAAATTTACAGAATTTACTAAATCCCACTTGTTGCAAAACAGCCCCTGAGAGTGTTAAATCATGAAAATTATTTGGTATGACAAATGTTAAATCCTAAGAAACTGTTTGGTAACATATTTCAGAATTTATGATAATTATTTATTTAAATATGAAGAAGTTAATTATAAATTATAAATTAAATTTATAATAAAAAATTAAAATTAATGTGTTATGAATTTAATAACATGTTAAGTATAAATTACTAGTTAATTATTATATATACTATTAATTATATATTTAATAATATAGATTTTAAGTTATACTAAGTAAGATAATTATATTAATATTTAATTAATTTAATTAATTATTAATAATTTAAATTATATCAATTAAGTTAATCTAATAAGTATTTGATATACAATTATATAATAGATTTAATTAATTAGTTAATTTTAAAAATAACTAATTATTTAACTAATACTCACTAAATAATTTAATATTTTAAAGTATTATTTAGTTAGTTTTTAATTATTCATTATATTATTAATTATCTCATTAATCATTTAAATATTTAATTAAAAATTACTTAATTATTATTTATAATAGTATAGTAGTTATTCTATTATAAAATTATATTTTAATCCTACTTGTTATTTTGCAATCACTAGCTACTTAACTAATAATTTATTAATTATTTAAATATTATTTAATTAGTTTTAATTAAAAATTGTATTATTAATTATATCATTAATCATTAGAATTTTACTACTCATTATTATTATTTACACTATTAATTATGTTTTTAATTATATATATTTAAAGATATATCAATAAGCTAATTAATATTAATATTTAATTACTGATTATATAATTAAGTTAATTAGATAATTAATTTATACACTAATTATACTATTAATTATTTAATTAATTTACATAATTATTAATTAATTTAATAACAGAGGCGTTTAGGGTTTGCCTTTCATCTTCTCTTTTCGTCGTTGCTGTCCGGCTTCGTTGCTTCGCAGTTGGTGTAGAGATTGCACGCGTGTTCGACTTCGCTCTTCGTGGCTGTTCGACTTCGCTCCTTCGACGAATTTCCCTTCCTGTCGTATCGGAAGTTACGACATTTTGATCGGAAGCAACAACGGGAGCTCGATGGATGTGAAGATAACTTTCTACTTTCGCGCGCTTCTTCGGCCAAATCGCATAAATCCGCCGAACTGAGGGATTTAGTAAATTCGGGATTCAAGCCGTAAATCCTTAAATCCGGGATTTACCCATCGCCGGGATTTAACGCCCGCACAGAAACCGTTTGGCTGGATTTATCGTAAATCCGACTTAAATCCCGCTGTAAATCCGATACCAAACAGCCCCTCAGTGTGCACAGCCTATTGGCCTTATCTTCATGAGCAAACTTCTCCATTTGCTCACTAACTCAGTTCATCTTGTAATCTTCATCCCTTTGCATCTCCAATGCTTTAGGCCATCAACACCGATCCCCATTTCCAGACCACATAAAATTCGAGGATTCAATTTTTATATCAATTCCTATAGCAGCTCAAAGAAAGTTCTAAAGAGCAAATTCTACTTCTTGGGAATCTAATTCCCATTATAAATGCGAATGAGATTTTAATTGACCTACGGAAATTATAAAATTGTCAATTTGGTGATTATCAGGCACATTATAGTGTTATAAGCTGAAGTTCATATGAATGAATGGCAATTAACTCTTCAATAAAAAGCAAAAAAAATTTACTTTTTCCTTGATAAAATAATGGTTTTTTATATGATTGATCTGGCAAACTTAGACAAAAAGAAATTTTGACAGTTTCATATTACCTGTATTGAGAAGCCCCTCCATTTGCAGCTGTATTTGATAATCGTCTATTACTAAATGGCGTACTCTGTAACCTCAGCAATGTCACTGGCAGGTTTTGAACATCTTGCTTGCAGACATCACAAATCTTGTTTCCCTTAATACTAAACCATTTTATTGCGCATTCTTTGTGTGCAAGGGCAAGTTCACCTTTGCAGCTACACTCCAACTTCAACATTTCTCCTTCTTCTCCCAGCTCAACCAAACATATCCTACACACTGCCTCTTCTTCAGGGATGTCTTCACCTTCGCTCTCTACAACTAAAAAATTAGAACATGCCAAAACCTTGTTAAATTTGCATGATAAAGGGGCAAATATGTTCACAAATAACACTTCATAATACAATCTAGTTACAAGAATGTGCCATTAAAAAATGAGAGATTATTCTGTGCGAACACCGAATGCAGCTCTACATTCGAATACCAATCAGAATGAGCCACGTCAGCGATATCGAGCCTCAGTACCGAGCGGTATTGACACACAATACCGCGGTACCGAGGAATAACGAGCCGCGGGCTTAGGTGTCCGTACACACACATAAAAATTTTTATTTCTTTTTTAATAATAAATATCTATTAATATGCCTTGGTGAATCTAATGATAAACATTCAATTTGTGCCCCCTCCTCCCTTAAAAATTTTCTAGCCTGCCAAGTTCAAATAAATGGTGATAATTATGAACATTCACATCAGAAATATAGCAGGTTACTTAACGCATTCTACTAATAAGATGTAAATTTGATCAGTGATGAATATGAATTAGAATAGTATAAGATGACAATTAACACGTAAAGATTTATAAATGAAAAGTATTTAGTACCATTTGCTTCTTCAGCGATTTCAACTTGTGTGCCCTTTTCAATAGGAACAGGACGAGGAGTTATTGGAATTACACGAATAAGACGTGGTGAATTTACTATCCGCAAATTCCTATCTTTGGCATTCGCTGGTACTGAAAGTGAGCGTGCCATTTGATTCTGGCCTTGAGGTTTCTATGAATAAAAAAAAAAAAGAAAGTCATCAAAATAACCCTAAGAAAACAATTCTAAAGAGTAGAGATCATTGATTATTAAAAGATTAAATAGATTCCAGATGAAATTAGCTTAAAAATGTATGTAGATTTAAACTTTGGCCTGTCACCACCGCAAGGAGATGAAAATCTGGCATCTCCAAACATGGCCTGCAAGAATGTTGTTGGTATGTAATTATTTAACAAGGATGTTTCTGCTTGGCAACAACATAAGATAGCCTTTAATGCAATATAATGTTATTTTTCAGCTTGGTTTAGCAATAAACCTTCATGAATCAGAACCACTTAAAACCTCAAAGTAGCCATCACACAAACCTAAGCATAAAGAAATTAGGGCTTGGTTGGCAACCTCGGTGGTTCTTTCTCTATTAGTTTTAGTGGATTTGGAATTTTGAGGTCTTGTTATCTTGGAATTTTGGCTGTTACCTTCCTTACCTCTTTGGATGGCTCATACCTGGCAACTAGATGGCGGTCTAAGTCCATTTGATTTTGGGGTGTATATGTCTTTTTTTCGATCAGATTGTTTTTTTTTGGCCCTGATGATTATTGTTTTTCTCTGGACGTAATCTTCTCTATGTGATCATCTTGTGATATTGTGGTGTATTGCTCTTCTTTTTTAATAGATTTTTGTTTTGCTAAAGAAACCAATTTTAAAAAGAAATTGTACGAAATCATATTCAAGGTGTTTAATTGTGAATATTGTTAGAAAGCACAGCATGAAAACTCCTTTGGTCCATTCTTTTTTTGTAAGTCTCCTCAAATGGCAGAGTCTATCTAGTTTTTTAATGTTAAAGCATGGAAAAAAACTCTTATGTAGTGTGATCTGATCCTTATGTTTAATTTGACCAAATCTGAAAAACAGTAGCAAGATAGCATTAATGAATTAAACCCAAGAACTATGTTTCCCTTCTAGCTTTTTTTAATCATACTAGATGGAATTTCACTCTTATCATTTTCAGATTGCAAAACAGCAGCAGTCCAAGGAATTATCACTAATGAAAGCTCATATGTAAAACAAGTACCGTCGGGAACTTTTTTATCATAATTAAGGCTTCATTTGGGAAACTCTACTGCTTCATAAAATAGTTTTCTAGTACAAAAATTAAAACTTTTATACTAAAAAGCTGCTCTTTAGAAACAATAAAAAGTCAGTCCCAAGTGAAACCATTTTATAAATCACGAGCCTATGAAGAAGCAAACATTGAAAACTTACATCTGGAGCATGGATGTCGATCACGTGTCTGTCTTGCACAGATTCAGTGCATGAATTTGCAACAGGTGAAGCAGGTAAAGAGAGTCCCAATTTTGCTTTGATTAAAAAGGCTCTTGTTAAAGAGAATGTCGTTGAATAAGAATGTTTATTTGGCTGTTCTTGTGATGAGGTCCCCTGATCTCGTCGAGAGCTCCCCGGAGTGAGAAGAGCTGTTCTGTCACCTTTAGGTGTTTCGTTCTTTATCAAACTCCTTTGTGGGGTAAGATTTGTAGTTGATATTGCTCTTATTGAAGAAGGCCTGGGTGGCAAGCCTGCTCTCGTTGATCTTGGAGTGATTGAGTGGGCAATATATATCCTTGTTGAATTTGGTGCTGAAGTCTCTAAAGTCCTCCCTGGAATTTCTAAGGAAGATAGCTTGGGCCGCCTGGGGTGATGAGATGATGCAATTTCTCCTCCACTGCTCTCACCATGATTCAATGCCTGCAAAACAGGTTTTATGTCTTAATCCAATCCCATTCACAGGAAAATAATGGCCCAACATTCAACCAGCATCATGCAAAATGCTCAAACAAATTAAAATGCATGATCATATTGCCATGCTTATGTAGGATTTAAAGGGGACGGAAAAATAATTCCATCGTCTCCGAAAGATATATCAAATCATCGAGAAGAATTATCTGAAGCGTACATGAATCCATTGAAATGCGGAATCAATGTCTTCGATCTTCCATGTTTGAAGCGGCGTTCTCCAAGAGAGCGAGAGACCCCTTATTTTCACTCAAGATGAGAAATGAGGTAAATGAGAACTTAACCGCTTAAATTGGGGACCATGACGCTTTTATATTTCAAGTGTATTTTTTTTTTTAATTTCAGTCCATCATTAAAATAAAATAAATACTTGTCATCTACACAAATAATTATTTTCATATAAATTAAATTGAGATGCCACATAAGCTAAATAATATTTTAAATCTTAAATAAATCATGAATTTAATTGACTCAATTTTAAATAGTGTCTAATGTATAATACTTTACTTATATGTACACAAATATATGAGTCCACTTACAAAAATTTTCCAGCAACTTATTGATTTGAAGTAGTCCTACTGCGTTTAATTTTGAAGAGTGATTCAAGAGAGGGGACGAATTTATGACCTATTGCATCACCATCGGCATAATCCTCATCTCAAACCTAGCCAGTTATGTCCAGTGTTCCAAAAATATGAATTATATGAAAAATCATGCTAAAAGAAAGAATTTAACTTATATATAGACAAACAGAATTTTGAGAATTCAGATCCTGTTTTTGAAAAATCTTATTTCAACCTCATTATTGATTCCCTTTTTTTTTTTCATAATTCATAGGATTTATCACTCTCATAAAGACTGACAAACAGTTGATAAGGATTTAGCTGAATTGAACATTTGTACTTTCAAACAATTTTCAGGCTTTAATCCTCTTAAGGTTTAATAAATTTGGATTTACAGGATTTAATAAACCCTAATTGTTAAATCGAACAACCGATTCAATTTTCCCTGCAATCGAGGAAAAGAGGCATTCCAAAAAAAAAGCTACAGCAGGCCCAAACAAAAAAAAATCAGTAGATGAACTCCGAGCTACAAATCTAAAACAAAAGCGCGGAAGAAAGATATACCTGCCGATTTGGGACCGGAGCTGAAACATTCGAAAGTGGAAGTGGCGGTGCCGGAGAAGGAGGAGGGGGAGGAGGAGCTCCGGAGTTTTCCATGAGCACTCGATCAACAGGTCCGTTTTCACCCACAAAAATATCGAAATTTTCGTTAAAAAATTTTTACGTTAAATAGTATTTCTGAAAGATATCCGCCAATAATTTCTTAGAAAGAAAGAGCGCGCGCGAGAGAGAGAGAGATAGATAGAAAAAGGATCGAGAGGAGTCCGACGCCATCTTTCTGCGAGATTTAAATCTTCCCCCGTCTTCTCTCAAAGCTGGAGAAAGAGCCCGCGAAAGTTTGGGACCTCACTGGAAACTGTCACCAAACGCCAAATCTATATTAAAATGGAGCATTTGCCGTACAAAACTTTTATATGATCAGATAGGGGTGTCAATTTCGAGTCATGGGTCCGGTTCGGGTCGAAGCCAAAACTGATCCGGCACTATTGGGTCAGCCCGAACCCAACCCGTTTTTTAAAATTGGTCAGTTATCCTTAACCGAACCCTACCCGTTTCGGGTCCGGATCAACCCGACACGACTCGTTTTGGGTCCGGGTCAACTCGACACGACCCGACTGACCCGTTTCCAACAAAAAATTGCTAGTTTTCTGGTCGAAAACGGGTCTATATCCACTTTTTCGGGTCAATCTCGGGTTGCCGTGTCAAAATCGGATTTTCAGATCAATTTCGGGTCAAAGGGTTAACCCGAACGGGTCGAAATGTTGAACCCGAACCCGACCCGTTTTGGGTTCGGGTTGACTCTAACCCGAAATTTTCGGGTCGGGTTCGAGTCGGGTTTTCGGGTTGTGTCAAATATTGACACCCCTAGGATCAGATTAAATTAGCCGTACCTACCACCGTTGCTTAATTTAGTTGGTGGACGAGTACGATTAAAAAGCCCGCAATCCATGATCTAATCCCCTCGAGCGGCACCTCTTAAGTAAAGCTTAATCAAGTGCAGACCATGAAGTTTTTGGCATGGGTGACTCTTCTAGGTCAGCTGAGAATTAATCACGTCGCCTAACTTAGCATGTAAACTTTAAGTTCTATGCTTAATTACATAATACTCAAAATTTTAGATTGCATAAAAATATTCACATTTTTATCTTCTTCATTACATTCACATCACTAACAATGGGGGCAGAGATCGCAAAATGACGATGGCTTGAATCCAAATTTTCAGATTGGAGTATTGGGTGAAGCTACACCTCACACGAACTCTTCTTCTCCTTCACGTGTCACAATCTCATCAATGACTTCACCAGTGAGCTCCTATCGTGAGTTATCATTCACACGGCATTGCTCTCATCGATAAACTTTAACAATGAGCTTCTTTCACAAATACCTCACTTCTTCTGTCATTGATGATTTGAACGGGAGAGAAGGCCGTCCAGAGATACAGAGACAAAGAGCTAGCTAGAGAGTTTTCTGGAATTGCATACAAGCATTCTTCTCAGCGAGAGATTATTATGTGCGGACATTGGACGGGAGAACCGTCTGGTTACGCTCGGTACTGAGTGCGGTACTGAGCACGATACCGAGCGTGGTATATTTTTGAGGTGACATGACGTACTTTTATGTCTTCCAACACATCCGGACTTCGCACAGAATAATAAATCCTTCCCAGCATGCAAACTAGCGCGTTGGGTCTTTGACATTGTGGGTCTTCCCAACATTTATAGTGTAATAATTCAAAATGATTTTACATGAAAAACATGAAAAATATGGGTTGAACATTGTGGCATTGTGTTTGCAAGTGCAGCGGCACTAAGAGTGTTGTGGCATCATAAAATATGGTCATGACGTTAAAATCTCTGTTCTATAGTAACCCTGATGGCGCCATGCAGTGTGGCACATTGGGTCTTTGGCATCGCGATGTCATATACTAAAAATAAAAATTTAATATTTTTAATATGAATATCCCAGCATTACTCTAACTTCATAAGTATATATATTTATATTTATTTATTTATTTATTTATTAAATTGAGGGCGACGCCTATCAATATCACAGATAGAATGATATTATTTTAGTCAAGTTACACATCAGCCGAAAGGAAGAACACCGAGTCAGGAAATCCATAAAAAGAGAAGAAAACTTGTAAAATTTCAAATTTGATAAATTCAAAATTTTGACTTATGCCAACTTCAACAGTTTCAATTTTGATAGATTAAAAATTTCTCTAATTAACAGGTAAGATTCTGCTATCGTTCTGTTCCCAGTTGCATTGGCAATCTAAAGATTGCCCAATTTAAAAAATGCCTAAAAGTCTAAAAGGATAAAAGCCCCATCCATCCATTCACATCCGTAGGGATAGGATTGTCCAATATGGATCTTAGAGATACTTGCGACTTAATTTTTAACCATTGGACTAAGGCTTCGATTGGGACGACTTTCTTATTGCTTTTCAAAGGGCTTTTTAGTATAAAACTATTATTTTTTTACTAAAATGCTGCTTTAAGAAGCAGCAAAAAAGTTATCCCAAACGAAACTCAAGTAGATGACCAAAATGCTATCATGAAAATCATCACGGTCAAATATGAATCTCCAAGATGAGGTGCTTAATCTATTCATTATTATTATTATTATTATTATATGTCAATATATAAATCTCAATCTTATGTTTGAGCCATTTGAAGGATTGATGGAGATATTTTAGCTCATTCTCGACAGGCTGAATCTACTCTAGTGCGAGTTCTTTGAAAGATTATGTGAGATAATTTTTTTTAGTCAGTATTTTCTTTTTCAAGTTAAATTGTAGATATTTAATTTTGATATTTTAGTTATGTTTGTTTATGAAAAATGCTCAAACCATGTTTACTAATTTCCTTAAGAAATTTGTGATTTCTTTAAAAAATAATCTTGGCCTAATCTTGTTTAAAACTTGTAATAGTTTGTGCAATTGACCTCTCTTTCTCCCCTGAAATAATAGTTTCTTCTACATTATCCAAACCCTAAGTTGAAAGTCTTAGTATCATTAAATTGAAAAGATTCTATAAATTTTTTTTAAAGTTTCGTTTGGGACGGCTTTCTTTCTGCTTCCTAAAACAAATTTTTAGTACTAAAAAGATGTTTAAGAAGCAGAAAGAAAGCCGTCACAAACAAAGCATAAGCCTTAACAAAAACTATAGCAACATAACACATATTGCCCATTCAAACTAGTCATCTATCAGTCGATCCTAACAAATTTGATCTATTAAATCCGACTTGGCGACTATTCAAGGAAGCGACTTCATTCTTATAAAAAAAAACTATTTATGGGCTATTTAGCTATAGAACATCCATATATGTTGAGCAAGAGATCTTTTAGTAGCTCAATAGACAACTTCATCAAATAGAATTTTGAATATTCTAATTAGAATGTATTTTTCGTCTCATTCTTTGTCTTGTAGGCTTAAATTAGGATGAACAGTAATTTCAGCCAAGCAACAATATCTATTAAAAGAAAAACATTACAAAAGTGCTTTGTTAGATTATAAAACTACTTGAAAACTTCAATAGCAATTACAAGCTGCTTAAAATTTAGTTCAGAATTTACTGTTTTCAATTGCTGCAGTAAATTCAGTATAATGAATAGTAAGGAAATCACATAGCTCATACTGATTTGGGAGCTTTGATCATCATAGCTTATGTATATGATGTATATGAATTTGTTTTAATTAGCTCAAATATCTCAAAAAAATAGTAATGAATTGATGTTTATAACTAAGCATTGCATTCCAAATCCATCGGAATAGTTAAGAAATTGTTTTTCAAGAGAAGGAAGAGTTCACCTTGATGGAAAAATTGTTTGAACTCAATTCATTAACATAGTCTTAACATAGTCTTATGTGAAACTACACTTCAAATGATTCTACCCATCCCTCCCTGGGGACCATGCTTGTGTATCTCTTGCGGATGAGTTTTTGCCTTCTAATTGTAGTAAGAGTGTCGAATCTTTGGTGACTCCTCGTTTTGATGATTCGTTATCTAAGGGTGTTGATCCTATGGCGGAAATCTTGGTTCACCTCTTATTGAGGTTCCTATTTATGTTCTATCAAAGGATGCTTTGATTACTCATTTAACTCGTAATATGTGGGATTCAGAAGTTAGGCATGGTGACTTGTTATATGATGACCATTCCTCAGCTGCTGGGAAGGATTTTAATGAGAAAGCCTTACACTCTAGTGAGAACTTTGATCTTAGTACCCTTCAAATTGTTGACGCTGGTTTGTTTACAAAGAAAAGTAAGCATAAACAAAGGAAATCGAAGAAGAAATGATCACTCCATTTGGTTTGGGGTGGTTGCTGGTTTTATTCTTTCTCTGTTGTTGGTTGTGGCTTGGTTTAGTGTTTTTTATTATGTTTGGTTGATGGTATTTCTTCTACCTATTTTTCTGAACAATGATGAAGAGGCTTCTGTGCGCTGCCTCCTTCCCTTGCATGATGACAACCTTGGTGGTCTTTTCTACCTTGCGGTTTATTTAGCCTCCTGTTTTGTTTTGTGTTTTGGTTTATTTAGCCTCCTGTTGTATTGCCTCTAATGGAAGCTCCGTGCTTTGTCTGAGAGTGGATGCATGAGGCCTCATGCCTGAGTCCGATGGGCACTCGCCCTTTTCCTAGATTTGTTCTTCACATTTCCGCCTTTTTCCCTATGAGGTTGTTCCTCTTATTGGTGGTTTTTGGCTTTGTAGCCATTTAGTTTCCGTAGGATTCTGGTTCTATCCTCCTTATTTTTAACGAAATTTTATTTTTTGAAAAAAAAAGGTCTATGAGAAAAATATTAATTTCTCAATGAATAATATGATAGAAAGTGATATATCTATGTTTTTTTAATAGGGACAACTACAATTTTGAATGTATTTTTTTTTATAATTTTTTAATAAACCCTTTTCTCATGATTTGCATGCAATTACATTAAAGAAAAATGATAATGGCTATGGAGTTTGACCGCGGAGATTATAGTGGCATCGGCTTGTGAGGGCCATCAAATGCAAGGCAAACTAGGAGGTGGGATCGTGCGCAGGGGCGGAACCACCTAGTCCTCCTAAAAAATTTTAAAAAATATTTATTACATGGATATTTAGGTAATTTATTCCCCTCCATTCTTTTTTTTTTTATTATTTTTTATTAAAGGAGTTTTTAGGCAATTGATCCCCCCTACTTAAAAAAATAAAATACTATGATATTTATGTGGTTGCCCGTTAGCATAATTAAACACATTGTGTCCCCCCCTAAGAATCAAGGCCGGTTCCGCCTCCGCTCTGTGAAGACCAATACCATGCAAATACCGAGTTGTACCGAGTTTT